TCTAAAGCTGTAGAAATATTTGTTCCTTCTTGTTTGGGGGTTTTCTTCGTTTGAGAGTGGTTTGTTTTGGTTTTTTTTTTTTTTTTCTGTGTAATTTGCCTACTAGGATTTCAGTCTTGATGTCCATGTGGAGCAAAATCAGGTTGTTCTGACTGTGGCTATGCCTGCACCATAAAATACTTTCACATCCATAGAAGATCATAGAGGACACTTCTCCCACACGCACACCCCATTTCTTACTGTTCCTGGCAGACAGACAGAATCCCAGCATGTCAGCTTTGTTTCCACAGTTAAGGGCTGGCATTAGTTTCGTATATTTGAGCAATAGATGTTTCTTTGGAGAGTATTGTCTTTTTTCCCCTGTGCTAACATCATGGCATAGGTTCAAGGATTCTATTTCACAAATACTTGTTGTGATGCTTGCAAGTCTGTTGCGTAGGCTCTTCCATTGCTAATTCTACTTTAGAGAAAGGGACATCACACAATTCTTGTTCTCCAAGAGTACCTGGTAGGAGTGACAAGTAATGCTGAGGGTGGCACACCTTAACGTACAGTTGCTGCAAAATAAACCATGTGGGGTTTTTTTCTGGCCCTGCAGAATAATTTCTTATTCTGGTAGTGAAGAAAACTTCCCAGTCGTTTAATGGCGATGCGATTCTTTTTTGGCTGGGTGACACAGGATTTAACCCTGTTTTGTTTGCTTTTTCTAGGTGTGGCCATCTGGATGGTGACCCCAAAGAAGTATCCCCTGTCTTCACTCAGTTTGTTGAATGTGTCTGGCAGCTCATGCAGCAGTTCCCCTGCACGTTTGAGTTTAATGAGCGTTTTCTTCTTGAAATCCATGACCATGTCTACTCCTGCCAGTTTGGCAACTTCCTTGGGACCTGTCATAAGGAGCGTGAGGATCTGAAGTGAGTTGGCAGTCTATAGAGCCAACAGTCTAGAAGTCACTTTAGATGCCAGAAAAAGGGCAGGTTGCATGTGTTTGTGTGTTTTTAATGTAATTGTAGATTGGCTAAGGGTAACATTGTATTGGTAGATGGTTACGTTCTACAGTGTGAAAAAAAGTACAGATTAATTATATCCCCAAAGTCAGATGTTCTAATTTGGACCACAGTAATAACTTGCAGATACCCGTTTTGGACTGGATAGTGGCCATTTTAAATGATTACATATTCCTCAGTGATGTGTCTTGTGTTTATAAAATTAATCAGATACTGTGTAAAAATAATTCTTAGCTCCCTTAATGTAATTCTACTTAGAACAGCATTATTAATCCGCTTAGCTTGATTCTTTTTTTTAGTGATTAGATGTTATTTGTAATTGACAGAATCTTTGAGAGGACCCATTCTCTGTGGCCTTTCCTCTTACAGAAGAAGCAGGAATTGAGAAATCCTTTGTACAGAGGATTTACAGCTTACAAAGAGCTTCAACCAAACACACTACCTTTCAGTTTCCAGTAAGTTGCTTATTTAAAGAAGGGGAAGAAGGGGGTTATTTCTTTGATTGTAATGTAGATTGGTAATTCAGGTTTATCAAAATAAATTTTCACTTAGCATGGTTTGGTTTTACCTTTCCCCTCCATTCCTCATCCATAAACTGAGAGTAGTAGAGCACAGGTAACTGCTAAATAAGTGCAGGTACTGTAATTTAAAATAATTTTTCTTTGGTGTTGAGAAAGAGGGTGGGGAAGGGCAAGGAAAATAAGAACTTCAGACATATAGATAGACCCCCACAGACACACTGACTGCTTGGTCTGTCAAATTTACATGGTAGGGTAGGCAATTGTTAAATAGAGTTCCTCCTTTCCTCCTTTTTAATATATATTAAGGAAGTCTTTCAAACAGGAATTTCAGTGCCCAGTGACACCCAGGCTTACGCAATCAGGGTGGCTTTCACAGGAAGAGCTTTCTTGTTGCCATGTCTATTTGCTTGCCCAGGGTGTTACAGCTGAAGTGGTTGGGTTTGCTTTGTTTCTGGCTCACTCCTGTTCCCTGCTGAGAGAGATGGATGCAAATGTGGGTTTAAGTGCTGTGGGTGGTTACTGGCGGGCAAAGGGTTTTAATAAAAATAGGAAGGTAGGGCAAACTGAGGCCTTCAAGGTAAACTGCCCAAGCCTCCAGTGTATTTTCGTCTTATGTTAATACCTACTGCCAGTGCATGTGGATCACAGGGCAGAAGTACTTAAATCCTCAGACTTTTTTTGAATCTTATGAAAATTTGCCCACTGAAATGCAATTTTATAATCCGAGGCTGCAGCAGTTTTTAAAAATCAATTACTGATCTCAATTTGTTGAATTTTTTTTTTTTTTTCTTAAACAGCATCTAGTTTGGCCAGGGGTGTACAATTGGCCACCTAATTCTCTTTTTTTTGCCCTGTTCTTGAGGTTTTGGTGTGGGATGTATAATCGCTTTGACAAAGGAATGCATCCAAAGCAGTGTGTCTTGGATCATCTGCTAAGCTGCATGAGCCAAAAGATGAAACTGGAGGACAATGCATCTGAACTGGAAAATGTGAGTCCTGAATCTTAATAATATTTAAAATCACGTGATGGTTTTGGTAAATATAACTGGGATTGAACATTGGCACTGAACAATCATTTCAACATGCTGGGCAGAGCTGGGCTAAATGAGGGGTTAAATGACATTGCTGTAATAAATAGGTTTGATTACCCAAAATTCTTGTCTGCTAGGCAAAAGCTGTGTTTGGTCAAGTTCTGTTGTAGGCTCATGATGTTCTAATTCTCTAAACAAAGCAGGTGTTACAAGAACACTTAGGCTTCAACTCCACTCACAGGAAACTTAGAGGGAAAGAAGAAAAGGTCTGTTTTTCCCCCCACCAAATAATATGAGTATATAAAATACATTGTTGTTTTCAGCTCGCCCCCACGTTTTTCTTTCCCGCCTTCTCATTCACGAGACACATTGGAAAAGCTGATGATCAACCAGGTATTAAAATAGTTAATTATTTGATCTCTCCCTGTACTTATCCTGACCCATGAGCCTTTCATTGTATTTTCTCCTCCCTGTCCTGCTGAGGAGGAGAATGATAGAGTGGCTTTGGTGGGCACCTGGTGTCCAGCCACGGTCAATGCACCACAGACCTGTACAGCTGCCTGAAAAGAGAAGTGTGGCTTTTCTTTGTGCTCAAGGCTCTACTTGCAATATCCTTTCTATGTGTATTTAAAAAAAAACAAAAAACAAACAAACAAAAAACCCACAAAAACCAACCAACCAAAAAAAAAAAACCCAACCCCTAAAAATACAGTAGTGGGAGAGTCATCTGAAAATATATCAGTGAGAAGTGTCCTTTACTAGGTTAAGGTGAATGCTGAAAACTTGTGGTTTATTAATTAAACAATGGTGTTTGTATCATACATGTAAGGATCTATACCCGTATGCTTTGATGCTGGATTGCAGGGTTGAACAAGAGGCACTGACACAGGACTATCATGCTGGCAGTTTTTTGTAAATCCCTGACATCTGGGAATAATAGCTTTCATTATTTTTTTTGTAATGTCTTTTTATTCGTTTAGAAACTTCCTTTCCTTGATGGTCCTTTGCCCAGTGAAGCTTGCTCCTTATCTAAAGTAGGATGTGCTGCTTCAAAAACACCGATGCTCAACACCCCGCAGGATTACGAAGCGGAACCACCTCCTGTGTTGAGCAATGGCGCCTCAGCAGGGGCTATAGACGGTATGTCAGATGTGGACCAAAAGCACAGAGACAACCTGTCTCATCACCAGGACCTCCGTGATCTTAATGACGCCATCGATGTTTTGGACTCTGAAGCCAAGGAGGGAAAGCCGCAGCACCACTGATCAGCTCTGAGAACTGTGTTCGATGAACCAGGCGCTCGTGGTGGTGAGGCGTAAGGGTGCTGTGCCCCCGCGAGGGTGTAGACCACCTAAACCATTTACAGCTGAGTGTGAGTACGTGTGTTTGCAGGGAGCGGTGCTCGCTGTAGAGAAGACGGTCTGCGTTTGGTTTGGTTCACATGGTTTTGCAGCTAAAATGATGAAGATGCATACAGAGCTGCCCAGAAAGCTACCTTGAGTTAGCATAAACCTTATTTTTCAGTGGAAACACGATGTGGTTTTAAGGTTTATGACTGCCTGCCAGCACTGGTATTTCAACCTGAAAGAAATCTTGGCCAATTAACGTGGGGCTTAGGAGATGTGCAGTGTTTATAACTGGAGTAGGAAGGATGCAATCCACTTATTCTCAGTGGTGGTGCAAGGGCATCTTAAAATGATAAAAAATTTCAGTTCATTTTAAAATTAATAAAAAAAAAAAAAATTCTTAGCTGTGAACGAATCTCTGCATGGATCCTCACCTTGTGACAAACTGATTCATTTTTTGTTTTCTATGCATATTTGATAAACAAAAACAAATTCCCCTGTGCCTTTTTATAGAGACCGTTTTAATGTCTAGCCATGCAACGTACTATTTTTATTATTGTAGTGTAGAGTGTAGTATTTGGTCATCTTTGTAGTCAGTATTTTTAAACAAGTTTTTTTTTATCTGCTGCTAGCTTCTCCAGGACCTTTGCCGATCCCCTGAGTTTAGTAGCTTCTAAGCCAACCTTTCAAAAAATAAGCTTTTACGAATGTGATTTACTGATTGTGAGAGGGCAGCAAGCCACAAAGACAGCCTGTAAGACATGAATTTTTCACAAAGGGAGGATTAGAAATGAGAAGATAGGAAAAAAATTATATGGAACTTTTCTCTCTTGCTCTATGATCATCTTGGTTAAATTTAAGCAAGAAAGTAACTCTTTGTTCTAAGCTGGAATCGATGTGCTTGCCTCACATCCATCTGTGAGGCAGTAATTACAGATGAGGTGTGTTCTATTATTGAAATGGGGCCTAAAATGATTACTTGACATCACATGCTGAGTGATGATAGTGAATGTTATCTTGGATACTCCACTCACAGGAAACTTAGAGGGAAAGAAGAAAAGGTCTGTTTTTCCCCCCACCAAATAATATGAGTATATAAAATACATTGTTGTTTTCAGCTCGCCCCCACGTTTTTCTTTCCCGCCTTCTCATTCACGAGACACATTGGAAAAGCTGATGATCAACCAGGTATTAAAATAGTTAATTATTTGATCTCTCCCTGTACTTATCCTGACCCATGAGCCTTTCATTGTATTTTCTCCTCCCTGTCCTGCTGAGGAGGAGAATGATAGAGTGGCTTTGGTGGGCACCTGGTGTCCAGCCACGGTCAATGCACCACAGACCTGTACAGCTGCCTGAAAAGAGAAGTGTGGCTTTTCTTTGTGCTCAAGGCTCTACTTGCAATATCCTTTCTATGTGTATTTAAAAAAAAACAAAAAACAAACAAACAAAAAACCCACAAAAACCAACCAACCAAAAAAAAAAAACCCAACCCCTAAAAATACAGTAGTGGGAGAGTCATCTGAAAATATATCAGTGAGAAGTGTCCTTTACTAGGTTAAGGTGAATGCTGAAAACTTGTGGTTTATTAATTAAACAATGGTGTTTGTATCACACATGTAAGGATCTATACCCGTATGCTTTGATGCTGGATTGCAGGGTTGAACAAGAGGCACTGACACAGGACTATCATGCTGGCAGTTTTTTGTAAATCCCTGACATCTGGGAATAATAGCTTTCATTATTTTTTTTGTAATGTCTTTTTATTCGTTTAGAAACTTCCTTTCCTTGATGGTCCTTTGCCCAGTGAAGCTTGCTCCTTATCTAAAGTAGGATGTGCTGCTTCAAAAACACCGATGCTCAACACCCCGCAGGATTACGAAGCGGAACCACCTCCTGTGTTGAGCAATGGCGCCTCAGCAGGGGCTATAGACGGTATGTCAGATGTGGACCAAAAGCACAGAGACAACCTGTCTCATCACCAGGACCTCCGTGATCTTAATGACGCCATCGATGTTTTGGACTCTGAAGCCAAGGAGGGAAAGCCGCAGCACCACTGATCAGCTCTGAGAACTGTGTTCGATGAACCAGGCGCTCGTGGTGGTGAGGCGTAAGGGTGCTGTGCCCCCGCGAGGGTGTAGACCACCTAAACCATTTACAGCTGAGTGTGAGTACGTGTGTTTGCAGGGAGCGGTGCTCGCTGTAGAGAAGACGGTCTGCGTTTGGTTTGGTTCACATGGTTTTGCAGCTAAAATGATGAAGATGCATACAGAGCTGCCCAGAAAGCTACCTTGAGTTAGCATAAACCTTATTTTTCAGTGGAAACACGATGTGGTTTTAAGGTTTATGACTGCCTGCCAGCACTGGTATTTCAACCTGAAAGAAATCTTGGCCAATTAACGTGGGGCTTAGGAGATGTGCAGTGTTTATAACTGGAGTAGGAAGGATGCAATCCACTTATTCTCAGTGGTGGTGCAAGGGCATCTTAAAATGATAAAAAATTTCAGTTCATTTTAAAATTAATTAAAAAAAAAAAAAATTCTTAGCTGTGAACGAATCTCTGCATGGATCCTCACCTTGTGACAAACTGATTCATTTTTTGTTTTCTATGCATATTTGATAAACAAAAACAAATTCCCCTGTGCCTTTTTATAGAGACCGTTTTAATGTCTAGCCATGCAACGTACTATTTTTATTATTGTAGTGTAGAGTGTAGTATTTGGTCATCTTTGTAGTCAGTATTTTTAAACAAGTTTTTTTTTATCTGCTGCTAGCTTCTCCAGGACCTTTGCCGATCCCCTGAGTTTAGTAGCTTCTAAGCCAACCTTTCAAAAAATAAGCTTTTACGAATGTGATTTACTGATTGTGAGAGGGCAGCAAGCCACAAAGACAGCCTGTAAGACATGAATTTTTCACAAAGGGAGGATTAGAAATGAGAAGATAGGAAAAAAATTATATGGAACTTTTCTCTCTTGCTCTATGATCTTGGTTAAATTGAAGCAAGAAAGTAACTCTTTGTTCTAAGCTGGAATCGATGTGCTTGCCTCACATCCATCTGTGAGGCAGTAATTACAGATGAGGTGTGTTCTATTATTGAAATGGGGCCTAAAATGATTACTTGACATCACATGCTGAGTGATGATAGTGAATGTTATCTTGGATGTTAAAATTATGTGAATCTTAGAGATGTTTTGTCTGTACTGCCAAGATGTGGGGACATGAACAGTCTCTCTCATGGCAATGAACTCTGCAATTTTGTGAAGCTGGTGACAAAACATAACTTGGGATGTGACCCCTTAATGGAACAAGAAGTGGACGTCTTGGCTCATGGCTGTGGCTCCAGCTTGGATTCATTCCAGTGCTTGTTAACACTACTTGGTTTCTTTAAACTGCAGTAATCTCAGCTGGAGATACCAGTTCAAAGTTGCAGGTTTAAAACAGAGACGTACATGACATTTATACAGAAGTCTTGTGAAGAAACAAGGGCTTGTCTCCCCAGGGAAATGGATGGCCCAGGAAAGCTGTTCCACAGTACTTGTTCTGGACAAGCTTCCAGAGATGCGCTTAATTGCAGAGTCCCTTTGTGTGGCTTAATTCAAGATGCTTTTCTGCTTCCTTTTGGATCCTGTTGTTTAATTTAAATGCTGCCATTGGGTCTTAAAGTCAGTTTTTCTCTTTTATAAAATTTTGAAACAGAAAATATTTTCTAAGTTAGCCCTCCCAGTCTACAATAAAAAGTAAAAAGGTTCCATTATAGCATCGTAAAATGCAATAGCCATCATTCGTGTGCTTATAACCGATGGTGAAATGACTAGGCTACTTTCAGTGTTCAAGACAGAGAAGAAAAAAGCGACCTCCCGAGTCTCACACTTTGGGTAGGAAAATATATATTTTATTAAGAATATCAAAAGACCCAGGAAAAAGGGCAATACCTGAGAACACAGAGTTTCTTCAATGCCTAGAATGGCAAAGAGAAACTTTTTTTTAATGTTGCAGGTTTTTCAATCTTAAAGCAAGTAATACAGTTCTTTTCAAGGTAGGCGCCAGAGAACTACAATGAGCATTTGATATAAAAACTAAGCACATAAAATACTGAACCAGATATGCTTAAGCAGAAGATGTTAGAAATTTGTTGTGTGGGTATGCATCAAAAATACTGCATCGTGCAACAGCTATATGTTTTACTGGGAAGGACGCGCATTTCTGGATGCATCTTTTCTTAATCTCAAGATGAGTATCTGCTGTTGAGTCTTTGCTCCTAAAAAGACATCTGCTAAGCTCCTAATGTTGTTAGTCAGTCTACCAGCCTTTTAAGTTTGCCATATCCATGTACTCCTCAAGGGAAGAGATTGCACCAGAAGTCTTAATCCGCCTGCTCTGGATACCCAGGAATCTGCTGTAGGTTTCCACTGGAGGGTGCTGGGGAGGTCATTTCCCTTTGCTTCTTTGTCGTGTAAAAGCTTGATTTCACACGTGCACTTTGCAGTTTGCAGCCTGTTCCATATGGACCAATCGAGCAACCCTGTCTTTCCTTTCTCAGTGGTAGAAGAGTGTAGTGGACAGTACGCATGGCTTCTTAAACAGGGAACTCTACAATGGTAAATGAGACCATGACGGACACTTTAGGACCAGTTATTCTAGATGCCATCAGTTCTTTTAATGTGTTCTCTAATGAAAATTAGAGATACAGAACAGTGCAGACTTTTGACTGACCACTGAAAGATTTAGACATACCATTGGTTAATCTTTGTATAAAAACATTTTGCAGAAGGTTTCTGTAAATGTTTGCACGTTGCATTGTCTCTTGAATTGCCATAGGTTACCTTGAAAAAAGTATAATAATCTTTGCTGATCCCTAAAACGTGATGCTGACATCTCCACAAATCCTTCCTGACTACAATGTTACTATGGGTGCATATAACCCTGAAAAGATTACTTCATACACTGAAAGTATTAGTAAGCTTTTAGTAATCTGGCTGCTTTTGACTTGAGTAGCAAAACAATGGATGACTTCATACTTTGAAATGCAAAACCTAGCCAAAAAAAAAAAAAAA